ACGACGACGACGACGACGACGACGACGACGACGACGATGAGAACGACGACGACGAGGAGAAGGATCGGGCCAGCGTGGAATTCGATTCTGGACTAGGGGATGCTGCACGGCCGCGCGACACGAGTGTGCGTGCAAGTAATATAGAAGCAAAAGGGATACACGCTTGCGCCGGACGATGTCTACCCCATCTTCCCGTTGACTTCGGGAGAGGGAAAAGCGGGGCGTGTGCAAGGACAGATGGCAGGGCGTCTCTCCCGGGCCGTGTCGCATGCACTATCAGTTTCGCTCGGATGTTCGTAACACGAGTTTTATCGCGCAGCTCGACGACGGTCGCGCTCGTCAAAGGCAGACCCGAGGATAGGCTAGCGGCCTCCGTCGCCTCCGTCGTTTCTCGTCGTCGTGCACGTCCCTCGAATCGCGGAAATTAGATCACCGTCGAACCGACGAACGAACGAACGTTTTCGCCGTCTCGAATTGGTTAGGAGAGCACAGAGAATCGCCGTCGGGGCTTCGAACGATGAGATCGCTGATCGTTCGATTTGCATAATAGAACGGTTAAGAAGAAGAAGAAGAAGAAGAAGAAGCAGCAGCAGAAGAAGCAGAAGAAGAAGAGAAGGAAGAAGTGAAGGAGGAGAGGAGACGAGTTCGGATTTTTCTACTATTTTACCTATATCTCTCTCTCTCTCTCCCCCCGTTTCGTTCTGGTGTCGTTATCTCAGTTTTTCCCAGTTTCCCCACGTCACTTTGTTCGTTCCTTCCTCTGTTCTTTCCTCTCTCTCTCACACTCTCTCTCCTAGTAGTCTGCCATCTCGTGCTTTTCTTTTCCGTCGCTTTTGTTTCGTAAGAGGAGAGTCCGATCGAATGGGAACGCGTTCGTGTTGTCTGGTGAATTAACCAGTAAGAAAGGAGGGGTTGATACGCACGTTTTCCAGCGGGAAAGATGAGAAGAGCGTGTTGTTGGACGGACCGCCGAGCCGGAGAAGAATCGTGGACGATTTCTATGCATGCCAGCACGTAAATCAACCCCGAAACCAACGGAACATAATGGCGACATCGAGCGAAAAACCCAAGGAAAATCGGATGCTATCGATTCGCCCGATAGTTTCACCCTGCGATTTTAATTCCGCGCCTCTGTGCCGGGACCCGATATAGAAGAATCCTCTCTCTCTCTCATCCTTTTCCGTTATTCTCCCTCCCTCTCTCTCTTCCTCTCTCTCTCTCGCTCTCTCTTCTGTCTTCGGTCTCTGTCTCTCTCTCTCTCTGCCCGGCTTCTGGATTATTGCGCCATGCCAGGAGAAGATTAACGAACCGCGGGGAAGGGATAATTCGCAAACAACCGTCGAGTGAAAGTCGTGCGGAGGACCGACGACGCGAAAATCCTCATTGTCGTGGAAAAACCACCGGTGTGGGAGGGTGAGACGTAGAGAGTGGTGCGTTCTTCGAAACCCGCGACGGTACTACATCCGCACGAAACTACACAGGATCTATAACACGCGTACACGCTCGCGAACACTCGTATATAAATATATAACAACCGCGCGAAGACAAGCAAGCAAGCAAGCAAGCAAGCTCCACATCTAAATATATATACATATATATATCGAAACGACATCGTGGACCGACTATGAGAAAGAGAAACAAAAAATGAAGGGTGTACTCTTTACCCTGTGCCTATTGTTTTCGGGTAAGTGGAAATTCCGCCACGTGCCGCGACCCGATCCCCGATCCCCGATCCCCGGATTGTTCTTTGCCGGAGCCGAGAATACATCTCGAATCGTTCTGTTAACCGGAACGGAGAAATTGAGTTACATCGGCGCCGTTTTCAATGCAGGTCGAACCGAAACCCGCCGGAGAATCGAAGGAACGTCGTCGTTCGGGCTGCATTCGAGCCGCCGATTCCCTATTGAAACACGATTCCCGACCGGCGACCGCGAGTCCTCGCGTTCGCCTCTCGGTTCCTTCCTTTGTGACGGCGTAGTAGATCCAGACGCGTCTGTTTAAAAAATTCCACGGCGAGCCGCCGCCGCCGTTGCGGCGAGCTTAATCGGGGGACGACGATCGCAGAGAGAAGGCTCTTCCGCCTTTGCGCGGCCGCCGGCGTAACAACGCCGGAGAAGAATACGCGCGTCCACTTGGGTCGCCCTCCTCGGCGCGGAGCTTCTTGCCGCGAAACAAACGGCGTCCCGTCGCTTTGATAAGATAAAGAACCGCGGCGTACGCCTCGCGCGACCCGACGCGACGCGACCCCTCAGCCCCCGCCCTTATTCGATGATTCGCCTCGGAGCCTGCACAAAGGCGCGAGCCTTTATCGCGAAGCCGGCAGGCTGGCGCGGCGCGCACGCGGTGCCGGCCCGCGATAAAAATCCCGCGGACATTTATTATAACAACGCGCGCGCGTTCCGTTCCGCGGCGTTGCACAAAGGAGACCGGGGAGACGCGCGCGCGGCGCGCGCGGAGAAAGCGTCGACGGGCCGCGGCGATATCGTCGCACACGCCCCCGCTCTCTCTCTCTCTCTCTCTCGCTCTCTCTTTTTCCCAGACGCGCCGCTCTGTCACGTATTACGAGATAAAGTAGTTTCTGAAACTGCGTCCGGAGAAACTTCACCACCTACTTTAATACTTCATGAGGAAGCACGCGCGGTAAGAAGGTCCGTGTCCGAGCGAAAGGGAGATATATCGCGGCTTTTACCCCCGGCACGGCGCGCCGGGACACGTTAAAATGATTTCTCGCCATGGTTCCGGCCGTACATCGCGGACCCCCGGCAAGACTTTCTCTCTCTCCCCTTTCTACACCTCCGCCCGCGTCTCTCTCACTCTCTCTGTCTCTTTCAATCTCCATGTCTCTCCCGGTCTCTCTCGCTCCCCGATTCTCTATCTCGCTTTCTCTCGTCCCATACCGGTAAACACGGGGAGTTAACGAAATTCCGATAACGAACGGCACAACGTGGCGAACATTTCTCTTTCCCCTGCTCCCCGAACAACGCGGCGTCCGCTCGCGCGACGCTCCGCCACGGGAAATAGCTTCTCGGGTCAAAGAACAATCCGCGCCGCAATCCGACAGCCAAAAGGAAGGTCGCGACTCGATGATTTTCGACCCTGCCGTAGGCCCGAATTCCGGCAGCCTGGACGACGAGCCGAAAGAAACTGCGAAATTCGGGTGTTCCGCAACTGTGGTGCAACTGGCCTCTGGTTAAATTAGTATTTCGAATAGACGAATGGAAATTATATCGAGATCTATTGTTTCGAATGGGGTTTCGATCGACGCTAGATTCACGGGGCACTGAATGCAGCTGATTTCGATTAGCTTATAAACGTAACGATGAGACATTTATTCTGATTTTTAACCGAGCGCATTGTTATATTTTCTACCGAGTACAGTCGTAATGCGAATAAGAAAAGGTACGGCAGCGCGATTACCGAAACAAGCACATCGCACAGCTCCTTTTAATGTAAATAGTACATTTTACGATAGGTAGAATAATACTATAATAATGCAATAATACATTGCGAAATAAAAATTTTTAATTCATTATTATCGCGCCGCTTGGTATTTCTCGACATAAAATAAAACAAGTGCTGTCGCGCTGCTTGGGTCTCTTCGTACTCATTTAGAGAAAGCGCGGTTGCGTTGTTTGGGATTCTTCGACAGTGTTTTTTCAATACCCCCTGGGACTCAAACTGTTAAGAGAATCGAGTCGACCTTGGAACATCCTCCACCGTGATACGAATGAAAAAAATCGTTGATACCGCGTAAAACACCTTCTTATACCGAACAGCTTTATATCATAAACATTTTTTTTCATAGCTTCAATATATTCCGGAATATTTCTGACTGTACTCTCGGTCGAAGCACCCTGTATATCGAATAAATATCTCGTAAATGTATCTACGCGATCTGAATGATCGTAAATTGAAAAATTAGTGACCCAGGTCATTTCGATGGGCTCCGAGAGCCCGCTGTCGACGCTCCGAGTGCCGCGCTTCCCAGAAATTCTATTGCGCTGGAATTCCGATTATCCGGAGCAGGTAGAGCGACATAAATGTTCGGATAACGGAACAGTTTACTTAATTACAGTTTCAGATTTTATCTCTATCGCCGTGTAAACGCTTTTGTACACGGGTCGTCGCCATAGTTCGAGCCGACAGCGTGTCGAACACGCGCGAATAATAAAGAGTTCCGATATCGCGTTGGACCGGATTCTACTTGTATTTGTCAGGATTTAGAAACGAATCTCCTTGCTGTAGCGTATTCCGTGCACCAGATGCGGGAAGATTGATCGTATGCGATGAGAGTTTCAATTTTCATTTCATTGAACAAGTTACTCGCCAGTTTTGTGGAATTTTCGGGCTTGCCCGGTTCCCGGTCAAAGCGCGAACGCGAAGTTCGCCATTGTAATACAATTTAGGAAATAATTTCTGAAACTATTCCGTGTTTTGTATTTGAAATACTAATTTATCGAGCATACGAGCCGCGTTGTTGTTGTTGTTAGTGTTAGCGTTAGCGTTCTGTACATAAGAGGCGTCGTTATCGAGTGGAATAACTTTAATGTCCGAACGATACGTTGTATAATCTTCTGAGTGGATTAACAATTTAAGGGGCTAATGATCTGTGCGATACGGTTATCGCGGTCGAAATTTTGTAGCTCCGCATTCGTAAAGTTAGGGTCCCGGGGAAATCGTACATAGAACAACCGAACCTCGAACTAAATGCATAATAAGGGAAGCTAATACGATAACTTGTCACTAATTATGATACTGGCGATAACGGCAGGAGAATAATAACAGTGTTGATGGCTTTAAATCCAAACAACCGGTATAATCAGATTTATCGGGCCGGAATGAACAGTAAATAACGCATACGCGCGTATAGAATAGACGCTCGGAATTTTGCTTTTGCCTCGAGAACGAAGTTTCATGTGCGAGAAACTCTAATTCTACATTTTACAGAGCAATAGTTGCCACACCGTTGCCGGAAAATCCTGTATTTGCGATACAGGGCGGTTTCGTTTTATTCTGCTCGCTCTAATCCGTCGCGGTTTACCGGTTTCATACGGAAGCCACCATTTTATTTTCTCCCTTCCAGAGGTTCTTCAGGTTCACGACGATTCGAAATGTCGCGGTAAAGAACATTCCAACCGTCCACTTATATACGACGCGTTCTTCTCACTTACACGAAGCGTTATTTTTACTTATGGAAAGCATTATGTTCACTTGAACGAAACGTTCCGTTTAGTTAACCAGTTAGCTGTGCTCGACGTGTATACTCGTCGTGGAGAAATGGCAATATTTCGCGACACGACGAGTATACTTGTCGCGCGTAAGAAGTAGCGACCATTGGCTGTTTAAATTGTAATTTTAAAGAAAACAAAAACATATTCTCAAATTTCAAGATGTTCAGAATATTTTGAGGCCGATCCTGCGCGAAGTTGTTTACATTGTTATAAAATTGAAATTAGAAAAGAATCACGGTATTGGTGTTCGACGTGCAAAGTGCCATTATACAGGCTGTCCCAGGTTTTAATGTTCAAACTTTGTCAGTGTATTCTATGGCACAAAGTAAGAAAAATGTTATATAAACATAGGTCATATAGAACTTTATTAAGAAGTTATAACAAACATTCAGAATAGAAATAGTAAACAACTTGCTGTTACTGCGAGCATTGGTTTGAATAGATCAGCACATGCCGTGTGTTTATGTAAGCTGTGTTTATTAATACATTTCGAAATGTATTAACACTTTATCGACCGCTACCCTATTTATCGGCTTTTCGATTGCCAATGTTTATCGATCGCTAGCCTATTAATCGGCTTTTCGATTGCCAATGCTTATCGACCGATAGCCTATTAATCGACTTTTAGCTATCGACGGTTTTCGCTTCTTTACTGTTTTGTTAGTAGCTGACCTCCTGTATGCTGACCTCCCCATATCCTTATGAATTATAATTATAATAATTATTATTATTTATTATTATTTTTAAAGGAATAAGCACAACACAATGAATAGCGAAAATTTAGCCGGTACTGGGAGCAAATGCGCGCGCGACTAAGCCAGTCCTTACTGAGTGGCAACCTCAACCACGACCGGACGATAAAGTGTTAATAACCGTTGTTGACAATACATGATTGACATCGATCGAAGATTTTTTTTATTTTTTATTTTTTTTTTTAGTTGATTACTATTCCTATTCTGAATTTTTGTTATAACTTCTTAATATAAAGCTCTATATGACCTATGTTTACATAACATTTTTTTCTTACTTTGTGCCATAGAATATACTGACAAAGTTTGAACATTAAAACCTGGGACACCCTGTATATTGTTCCTTGCTTTGCTAAATACCATTCTCTTTCTACGGCAGCAATTTGAATTTTTCACTTTTATAAGTATTCGATTATCCCTGGGTTTTTCGTTTATTTTGTATATGGTATATGTGAACGTCAAGCGAATAAGTAAATATTAGTAATAAAATTGTTAATTTTATCGAATAAAACTGTCTTTTCGATCCAATATTTTAACAGCGACACTTGCATTGTGTTCGACGAGTATACTCGTCGTTGCTCGATTCTCGCGACACATATGGGCGCGCGCTCTGAAACGGAGGCGCCACAGCTAACTGGTTAAACAATACGTTCTTTTTACTTAAACAAAGCATTCCTGTTTACTTCGACAAAACATTCTGTTTACTTAAACCAGAACATTTTGCTTTCCCGTACAGATGTTTGACCATGTCCGACGCAAATAACTTCACACCACTGATTTCCTTTCCCGTTCCGTTATTCGCATCTACTTCCCGTATTCACGTTCGGTTCTGGCGAAATTAACGAAAATATCAAGGTCCCTCTAAAGACGAACGAAACACACCCTGTACACAGCCGGCCGGTTTGTGCAAAAAAAGCTTTCAACCCCGACCCTTGTGCACGGTTCGTGTTAATTGAATCCGAAACGGAAATTCAGCATGTAACAACGTTTTAATCAGTGATTCTATTTACCTGCAGCTTTATTGACTTTCGCTAAAACTATTCGGGGAATGCGGTTTCCCAGAAAAGTTTTATTCGATCGAGATTCATGCTCTTAGCTTGTCAATTTGCCGTAAAATTTTGTCCACGCGTAAATATCAATGTATACGCGAACGGACAACGACGCCCGATAATTTCGCTCTCGGATTAAATTAATGGAATTAATATTAGTTTAATTAACATTGATGAAAAGGTGCAGGAAAATATGACACGATGCGCCAAGGGCCGAGGGTTAAAACTTAAAGCAAACTTTCTCTAAATCGAGTTCAACCCTTTCAAAACGGTATCGCGTTTCTTATACATCGATCTCTGCTTTTTAATGATCGTTGTAACCTAGACTGCAATTAATAGTCGTTGAACATTCTGTGTAACTTTGATGAGAATTTCGCTGGGATATACAGGGTGTTGAAAAATATGTCCAAGAGTGTAAAAAGAGGAGCAAAAAGTATGCGATCAACGTAAATTCTATAATCAATCTTTTCTGTGCATAATCAACTTTTATTATTCACTTACAACAATTCATGTTCGTATTACAGCGCTTGCAATACAGAGGGACGTTAGCTCAAGAATATAAGCAGATAATAATTATTTCCGCAGAAAATAATAACGTTTATATTTAAAATAATTGTTAATATCGACGAAAATGATCTATATTACTATCCTGCATCATAGCTGGTTCTCTACTCAATATATTGAACTTACTAGCATACGCGATACTAAAAAGCGCCCCAATAAGGGATGCTTTTAGAACCTATATCGACAAGACATGTTTTGCTCCTTTACGGGACTATGAGCCCTTAAAATCTTGTGCACTATTTTCTCGGCACCCTATAGACACACCCAGCCGCGTTGAAACGTATATACGGTATAAAAGCACCCGATAGCGTTAATTTTTAGCGCACAGACACATCCAATCCTGTTGAAAGGGTTGAGAGAAACGAATGACTGTTCGAAAGCTCCCGACGATCTTTAACCCCTTGCACCGCGATTTCTTTCACGGCTACGTCGATTCGCACTTCTTCGTCCTTAACGATTTTTCCTAATAGAATCGGGCGATTTTTGTTCCTTGTACATTTTCATTAACTTTCATTGCTAAATTTTGATAACGGTAGAATCAAATTTCGTTTCGATTTCGAAGAAACGATTATTAACCCTCTCTTTGCACTCGCTCAAATGTCGCCGATACGGCGAGATTTTCACGTCGAAGTGGAGTTTTTTTGTTATTATTATTTCTTGCTTCACACTGTAAGGTTATTTATTTAGGGTTATTTATTTATTTGCAAGATACGCACGTAAAAACACAAAATCTGTTAGTTATCATTTCCTATACAATTTCACAGCGGTACAATGATTTTTATTTCAATTCGACCTTCTGTACAGCAAAATCACAATTTTTGCATTTCCTACGATTTTTGCTGGCGGACATGTCAGAAAAATCTTGCGAGTGCCGAGGGTTAACATTCACACTTAATAAATTTGTATTTGGTAGATTTATTTTTGGTAGATTTATATTTGACAGAGTTGCATTTCGTAGATTTATATTTAGAAGATTCGGTAAATTTTGCGAGTGCCGAGGGTTAACATTCATATTTAATAGCTTTATATTTGGTAGATTTATTTCTGGTAGATTTATATTTGACAGAGTTGCATTTCGTAGATTTATATTTAGAAGATTCGGTAAATTTTGCGAGTGCCGAGGGTTAACATTCATATTTAATAGCTTTATATTTGGTAGATTTATTTCTGGTAGATTTATATTTGACAGAGTTGCATTTCGTAGATTTATATTTAGAAGATTCGGTAAATTTTGCGAGTGCCGAGGGTTAACATTCATATTTAATAGCTTTATATTTGGTAGATTTATTTCTGGTAGATTTATATTTGACAGAGTTGCATTTCGTAGATTTATATTTAGAAGATTCGGTAAATTTTGCGAGTGCCGAGGGTTAACATTCATATTTAATAGCTTTATATTTGGTAGATTTATTTCTGGTAGATTTATATTTGACAGAGTTGCATTTCGTAGATTTATATTTAGAAGATTCGGTAAATTTTGCGAGTGCCGAGGGTTAACATTCATATTTAATAGCTTTATATTTGGTAGATTTATTTCTGGTAGATTTATATTTGACAGAGTTGCATTTCGTAGATTTATATTTAGAAGATTCGGTAAATTTTGCGAGTGCCGAGGGTTAACATTCATATTTAATAGCTTTATATTTGGTAGATTTATTTCTGGTAGATTTATATTTGACAGAGTTGCATTTCGTAGATTTATATTTAGAAGATTCGGTAAATTTTGCGAGTGCCGAGGGTTAACATTCATATTTAATAGCTTTATATTTGGTAGATTTATTTCTGGTAGATTTATATTTGACAGAGTTGCATTTCGTAGATTTATATTTAGAAGATTCGGTAAATTTTGCGAGTGCCGAGGGTTAACATTCATATTTAATAGCTTTATATTTGGTAGATTTATTTCTGGTAGATTTATATTTGACAGAGTTGCATTTCGTAGATTTATATTTAGAAGATTCGGTAAATTTTGCGAGTGCCGAGGGTTAACATTCATATTTAATAGCTTTATATTTGGTAGATTTATTTCTGGTAGATTTATATTTGACAGAGTTGCATTTCGTAGATTTATATTTAGAAGATTCGGTAAATTTTGCGAGTGCCGAGGGTTAACATTCATATTTAATAGCTTTATATTTGGTAGATTTATTTCTGGTAGATTTATATTTGACAGAGTTGCATTTCGTAGATTTATATTTAGAAGATTCGGTAAATTTTGCGAGTGCCGAGGGTTAACATTCATATTTAATAGCTTTATATTTGGTAGATTTATTTCTGGTAGATTTATATTTGACAGAGTTGCATTTCGTAGATTTATATTTAGAAGATTCGGTAAATTTTGCGAGTGCCGAGGGTTAACATTCATATTTAATAGCTTTATATTTGGTAGATTTATTTCTGGTAGATTTATATTTGACAGAGTTGCATTTCGTAGATTTATATTTAGAAGATTCGGTAAATTTTGCGAGTGCCGAGGGTTAACATTCATATTTAATAGCTTTATATTTGGTAGATTTATTTCTGGTAGATTTATATTTGACAGAGTTGCATTTCGTAGATTTATATTTAGAAGATTCGGTAGACTTACAAAGTCATCGCCGCGGAGTCGGACTCGTTCTATCGCAAGGGGTTAATGCGCGGCATAAATGAAACCGGTGGTGAAGTTGTCGCGTGGTCGCCCTAAACTGTCACCCTCTCCCACGATTTCTCCGATCCGTGCCTTTGTTTCGGTCGCGGCGGGATCCGTCGCCGCGCCTCGATTCGCCGATTTGCCTGGTCCAATCGTCTGGTTGTTTTTGTTCCGGGGGTGGTTTTCCGTTCGCCACCGGAAGTGCAAGGCCTGGCACGGGGCACCACCGATCACGGAATGTACGAGAACCACGCGCTGCTGGAGCCGCTCGACCGTGGACCATTCTTCGACGTGACGGCCTCTCACAATGTCACCGCGCTGGTGGGCAAAACGGCCACCCTGAACTGCCGGGTCCGGAATCTCGGGGATCGCACGGTAGGTAACGCCGCGCCGGCCGCGAAGAAACGAATTATAGCCGGCCGAAACCTGGCCGAACGGTTATCGGCCGTCAGCAACGATGCATGGACGGCCGGGGCTTCGGCTCGAGCCCTGATTCCGTTCGTCCGGCGAACGATCGAACGCTCCGACGTTTCCGCGGCCAAATTGTTTATTTGCCAGCCGGGCGCCACTTTTATGGCCAAACGACCGTAGAAACCTCGGACGCGTTGTTTCCCGTCCGATGATCCAGCTTCGAGCGAAAATGTCGGCGCGTTCCGGAATCACGGATCTTTCGGCGCTTGTTATGCCACCTCGAACGCGTTCGATGGAAATTACCATCGCGGAAAGAATGCATAAACAGCGGCCGAAAGATTAGGACGAAAAAGAAAGAAAGAAAGCGATTGGTTAAATGCATCGCGATCAAAAATCTTCTTCGAAATCACGCGACACTCGACTCGCCCGTGATTCTTTCTGCGAAATGAAAATCGTCCACGTCATTATCATTGGACGGCGGATTCGATGGCTTTCTTCGCAAAAACGACTGGATACGAATAACGAGGCTGTAAAGACATTGACCGAATTTCACGCCAGAACTATCGAGCCAGTCGGAACGACTGGTTTCTGATTTTTTCTTTTACGGTTTCTGATGATGTAAGAATATTTCTAGGAGAAATTTTTAGGCGCGCGTTTTCGGGATATTAATCGAACGAAATTTAAACGAATCCAGGCTTGGCGTTATTGTAAAGCAATATACAGGGTGTCCCGAAAATGTCTCGCAATTCGGAAATGGGAGGTTCCTGAGGTCATTTGAAGCAACTTTTTCCTTTGCGAAAATTTTCTCCGAGGCTTCGTTTACGAGTTATTAACGAAAAACACTAACCAATAAGAGGCGAGCTCGGCTGGCGCGTGGCGGCCCAGCCAACGAGTGCACGGAGCCCAGTTCCGCTCATTGGCTCGGCCGTCTCGCGCTAGCTGAGCTGGGATTCGACCGCCTCGACCGCTGGCGCCGTTGCCACGGCCGCCTTGACCGCTGGCGCGTTGACTCGGTCGTCTCGCGCCAGCTGAGCTCGCCTCTGATTGGTCACTGTTTTTCGTTAATAACTCGTAAACAAAGCCGCGGATTGCATTTTCGCTAAGGAAAAAGTTGCTTTAAATGACCTCAGGAATTCCCTTACTTCCGGATTACGACACATTTTTGGATTGCGAGACATTTAGTCGTGTTTAGGGCTCGGTAGTTCTAATTAATTAGTCGTCTTTTATGTTATAAGGAACTTATGAAAATGATTGAAGGATAGATAAATATCTTTATCGAACTTACGATTTTTTATAATCTATTTAGATAATTTTTAGTTCGTATACAGATCCGCAGTCTAATTATTTCGGAGTTTGGGCTGAAATTATGTAAGATATTCCTTTTTCTAACAACTTTAGTAAAAGCAAATGAACGTAACGGAGTTCGTTAATTCTTCAAACGAAGAACACTTTTCGCCACGAATGTACAAAATCAACGATCCGTTGATCGCACGGCGCACTAAGCGTAATTGGGCAATAGCAAACATACACAGTAGCGGATAAAAAAAGAAGACTAAGATAAAAATTTCAAAATGCCTGGTAACATATTTTCTGTTTTAAAGTCGCTGAAATTAGAGCGGCTCTTTCGTGAGATAACGATCGAGTAAATCTCTTAATCAAAGCAAAAAAATGGCGGATGGTCTAAATAATTCTTTTCCAATACAGCCTTTGGTTTCTAGACAACAGAAACAAACAAACTAAACAACAGAAATTAAACGTGTAACAGAAATTAAAATTTTATGCCCGCGTTATCGCATTTATCCGTTTACTGATAATTGTATTTTGCATGGACTCGAAATAACGCGGCTTAAGCTACAGAAAGCGATTTCTGATCCATTTCATCAAACACGGTTTGCGTGTGCGAATAGAATCATTTCCACAATTTCTGTTCTCCGTTTACGCGTTTCTACGAGTGCTCGTTTATACGAATTCTGCTAAAGAAACGTGTCCTTATTAGAAAAAATCTCCCGTCTCGATGGCAACCGAACGGATTCGTAATCGAACATTTTTTGTGTTCTTGCTTTTTTACAACAACGTTGATTGTAAAAACACGCCGAATATGTATGTACATACGTATATATTATCGCTCGGTTGAAACGAACGTCGGAATTTTGGAAAAAATCCGCGGCATTTGAAGGAGCACCGTGCACGGAATTAATATGCGGGTTCACGAACCTGGGTAATTTCCTACTGAAAACGTAATAGCCGAAAAGGGAGAATCGTTCGATCGAGAAAGGTGTGGCGCACTATTGATTTGCGTCACGCTGCAAGGGAAGTCGGCAAGTAGAATTTTATCCAGCGATATCGCGCGACATAATATACAGGGTGTCCCAGAAATGTCTCGCTATCCGGAAACGGCGGGTTCCTCGGATCATTTGAAGCAGCTTCTTCCTTTACAAAAATTTTCTCCGAGACACCGTTAACGAGTTATTGACGAAAAACAGTAACCAATAAGAATCGAGTACGGCTGACGCGAGGCGGCCCAGCCAACCAGCGCGCGAAGCTCAGTTCTGCTCATTGGCTCGGTCGCCTCGCGCCAGCTGAGCTCGCCTCTCATTGGTCACTGTTTTTCGTTAATAACTCGTTAACGGTGCCTCGGAGAAAATTTTTGTAAAGGAAAAAGTTGCTTCAAATGATCTGAGGAACCCGCCACTTTCGGATTGAAAGACATTTTTGGGACACTCTATAGAATGTTAGCGCCGTAACGGTGGGTTTTTAGTTTGCCGAACGTGGATCTAGTCGGGGTTTGTTTCGTCGACCATCTTCCGGCTTAGGCGTTTCACTCGAAAACAACTCTCGGTCTTAATTGAATATTTTTATCCGGAGATTTGACCGACGATTCTAGGTCGCCGCGAGCCGGCACAGTGCCCGATTTAGAGTGACTCGCATTAATATTCGGACACGATATTGTTAGAAGAATTATTGCTCCTTTTTATTGTTTATGATAGTATTATCGAATCAATTGTTTTCTCATATAATAAAGCACTTCTTAAAGTAAGTAGAAACATAAATTTTGTTTATTTATCGCACATGTTCTTTTGTATAATAAGCGATAGACAAGATTGCGAGAAAATTTAACGTCGCAAAAATAGTCGGACAGTGAATGAATTACATTAATTTTATATAAAATGAAAAACTTTTTAATAATCATGTTATCATAATATTAATATTTTGTCGGTCGACCCTTTTGTTTTATTACTTCATGCAATCGCTCGGGCATGTTACAGATGATTTTATTTAAATAATCCGGCGAAATCCGTTTTCATTCGTCTAACAAACGTTGTTTCATCTCTGTCGTTGTCTTTGTAGGTGTTGTACGAATTTTGCGGTCCAATTGATCCCATAAATTTTCAATTGGATTTAAATCAGCCGATCGAGAGGGAGGATGCAGTACTTTTGGACAAATAGTTTTACAAAATTATTGTACAAAAGAACGAGTGCAATAAATAAACAAAATTTATGTTTCTACTTACTTTAAGAAGTGCTTTATTATATGAGAAAAATTCGATAATACTATCATAAACAATAAAAGAGGAGCAATAATTCTTCTAACAATATCGTGTCCGAATATTAACGCGAGTCACTGTATTTCTAATAACCAGGACCTGGTTCGTGCAGCTGGATCGGCTAATTGCGCTCGCTGTTGCGCGCCACAGATATTCGAATCTTGACTTTCGTCAAAGTTTCGAGTCGTAGAAATGTCATTCGAGAATCGATATCGACGCGTTCGTCGTCATCGTGATCATCGACGTTGTTCATCGAACGACGTTACGAAGTACATAAAATCGTTCTCCAATTAGTTCCACAATTTCATGCAGCGTCGAACCAATTAAGATCCGGCTGAATTTCATGAAATCTTACGCCGCGTCCGATTGTAACGATACGCCGTCCCGGAATAGAACAACAGATTGTTTATAGGCGAACAACATGTAGCCGCGGCGAGCTGTGCAGCTGCCGTAACGCCCGGCAAAACAACGAATTTGAATAATTCGAAACGCCGGTGTAACAAAGTTTTTTCCTTCCTATCAAAAGAAACTGATTAAAACAGCAGCAGAATTCCGCATCGTGTGCCCGCGTTCGTTAATTAGCTGGCGAAGTTTTCTATTTGCATAAAGATCCGCGGAGCGCAGTTATTACGTACGGGAGGCAACACGTGTTGTTTCTGTTTCTGTTTGCGACAGAAAGAATTTATTTGCACTTTATATCGCGCTTTGCACGACGCCGGGGAAAGAAAAAGGTTCGATGTAGCGTCGGGTCGGCGGGAAATACGCTGCCGGAAATATTTATTGCATTGCTCGAATATTAAACACGTTATCACTTATATTGCTCTTACTATCCTTGGTTACTTTGGGAGGTTCTTCTGTATGGAATTTATTGCTCGAGAAATACCCGACAGAATAAGTTTGCGCGCGTCACGCATAACTTTGCGCAGAACGTATCAACGTTCGCATACCGCAAGGATACGGCGAGTCGATACGAGCCGACGAAATATGCAACGGCACGGAATAATTTTACGACCGAGTTACTTTATTAGAACCGTATCAGAAAACGTATGGAAAACGTTGTTTTAAACGTTTCGATAGCTTGCCGACGATACCAAGAGTTCCGCGAGACGGAAGTCGGTTGTTTTCGTTGGCCGCATTTTGATGAATCTTGTTGCGGTGGTGGTTATTCGATCAACCAAATAAGCCGTACGAAGAATGAAATGTCCAGAGAACACGGAGGAGAGCGATAAAGCTGTCAATGGTAATCCTTTCAGTTCTCCAGAAACGATTTTCGCGACGATTGTTTCCACGTTCTGTTCGTCAAACGGACAGCGCTTCGCGAGCATTTTCTGTCCGGGAACAGCTAATATTTCATCGAAATCGCGAGACCGCATATTCATCGAAGATTTCGCGCGATCATTGTCGTTTATAGTTTCTATC